TAACGTTTCACACATATGGACACATGTGTACCCAACATATTTTTTTAGTTGGCGTTATATCCAATAATTTAGGTAAATGGTGGCAATAAGGAGCAATAAGCTGCAGTTTTGCTAATCTTAACCATAGTTCAGCTTTGGGAACCGCATTACTATTAAATTGGCCAATGAAAATCTGGCAATATTAATGCTATCAAGCATGAAAACTAGCTGGATTTGGATCAAGGACCTTTATTTATAGCATTTTACGTAGGACTGATTAGTTTAAAGGCAGAGCTGTGTGTCTCATGCGTTTTTAAATATTAAGTAAATTCAGAAGTCATGTGTTCCCTTCCAACAGCAACAATAAAAAAATTACAGATAATTTCACATTAATTTCAATTTCCTGATATTACCCAAAGATGCTTGATGAAGTAATAGCAAACCCTGTAAAGTTTTTAACCATACTGTATAAACAGTTGGTTGCAGATGTGAAAAAGCCTTAATAATACAGCTCACAGTTAATTAGAAGAGAAGATGATGACTTTATAGTTACATGAAAAAAATCATCGAGCCTTTACATATTGAATAAGCAAACATGTTTACGTTTTATTTGTTCTTTGTTACTCTCATGTTATTTTTTATGCTCATACTACTTTCTGTCTTTTTCTCACTTCCTTCTCATTTCTTTGGTAAAATTGTCACTATGACCTGTGTTTGTCCCTAAACAGTACCTGTACGTTTAGGATCAGATGGGTTTGCTGTGAGTCAAAATAGTTACAAGGGGAACATCATCATGGTTCATTTTCCTCCCTGTTTTATTCGGAATTGAATTAGGAAATTAAAGGTTTTAGCCGTTTAATTCACTTCTCCATAAAGTTTATGGAGCAGCAACAGCTGGTTGAATCCATGGCAGAAAAATCCAACTTCAAGTGTCCAAGCTATTGTTTTAGAATTAAGTGGGGGGAGGGGGAGAGAAACTCATTAACTGTTAATGAAAACACAGGGAATAAAAACAAATAGCACAGAAACCCTAGCAAATAATTACCTCACACCTACCACACAGCTACTTTATCTTTCTGCTCCAATCCCTGAGAAATCCCCAACTTATCACTCCGCGGAGCATGAATGAAATTGAGTTTGACTCTCAGGAAAGAACAATAGAGAAATGCCCCCCTTACAGGCCTCTCAGCACAATACTCAGTGGAGAACCTGACATTGAATGTACTAAGGAGTGTATCTAGCGCCCAATTCTTATGACACTTAGGATGAAGGAGCAAATGATCAGCTAATAGCGGGTGAACCCTTGATATAGTTCCCCCAGACCCTGTTTAGAAACACAAAGAGCAGGAGGTGGTGGATGTGATGAATGGAGATGCTGTGTGGTAGGATATATATGTCCGTATAGAAATACATTGATTCTGAGTGAGTTGCAATGGGAAAGTGTGTCACCAGGGGCCAGGGTTCTTGCTTGTGAGAAAGCCACGCTGAGCAGATGGAGTTCTGGGCCCTAATTGGAAAGCTGCTGGAGTGGAAATGTCTGTCACTATAGCTTGTGATCATTTACGTCTGATCCCACCGGACCTTCGTAGTGGCCACTTGGAACTGCGACTCTCAGAGCTCTAGATAAATCCACAGATCACTTGCGGCTATGTTTTAGCAACAAAAAAAATGATGTTATAAATGTAAACAAATCCAAAATGACCGCAGTAATGGCTGGTTCTTCTGTAAAACTTTCCGCCCTTGCATCTTGAGTCGCTGTAATCACTTTAATGACATGGGAGTGTCTGTTTATATGGTGTTAAGGGCTTCATACAGTTTGTGCCCATGGGAGCTGGGCCACTCGATATAACACTAAACACACTCACAGCAACATTTCCGTCACCGGGAACTAATTATGCTTGGGTGTAAAAACATATTTTCAAATATTTCTCCCACTGCAGCCATTCTTAATACTGACCTCAGCTGTCTTTCTTGCATTGTGTACCTTTGTTGTTATCTGCTTTATGGAGGTATGGTCTCATCTTTGGCTGTTAAAATCCTACCTTGGGAAACTATGCCCAGAAACCATATGAATCATGCGGAAGCGACGTTTCCATCTGAAGTTGGTAAATCAGATGCCAAGCCCAGGCAGGTATTTTGGGTAAGACTTTAACGCTCTAGCCCTGACCGCATGCATGGCTCAGGGGTTAAGCATGTACCTGTGAACCAAGAGGTCACAGTTCAATTCCTGATGGGCATGTGCCCAGGTTGTGGCAGCTCAATCCACAGTGTGGGGTGAGCAGGGGGTGGCCAATCAGTGGTTCTCTCTCATCGATGTTTCTCTCTCTCTCCTTCTCTTCCTTCCTCTATGAAAGCATTAAAAAAACATTTTTTTTTTAAATGGAAGCTCTAAATGCAATTGGAGTAGATCCTGGGATGGAAAAAAAAAATTAATGGGAAAACTGGAGAAATCCAATAAGGTCTGTATTAGTTAGCGGTACCAATGTTAAATTCTTGGCTTTGACAGATATAACCTAGTTACATACTTGGTTGACAGTTGGGGAAACTGGATGAAGGGTATACCTGAATTCTCTTTACTATCTTTGAAATAAGTCGATATTATTCCAAAATAAGAAGTTCATTAAAAAAACAACAAAGCAACACAAACCCCTACCTGATCTGCTTATTTAAGAAAAAAATAAAAGTAAATAAAACCTGGGATGCTAGAATGTATAAGAGAGTAGATTTGTCACATTTCTGAAGCAAGCAGAAAACTGTGTCTAGAATGTTAGTTGATAAATAATGTTTGGTATATCCTACAAATGTTCAATGTTGCATGGCAACCCAAATGATTTATTTATTTATTTTTTTAAAAGATTGAATTTGGTTTGACTCAAAATTTTTAAATTGCTTTAACTTCACAGCTCACGTTCAGGTCACCTGCCAGGCAGACTGTTTAGGTGGTGTTGATAGAATAACTTCAGTGAATTCGCAGTGATGCAGTTTGCGTAGTTTAATTCCCTCTTTGAGGTTGAGAATTTTCCTGGTTATGATGGACGTTTCATTGGGATACTTTAAGCATAAGCATAAGCTTTCAGTCCTGATCAGTGACCTAATAAAGGAGAGCATTTCCTGTGGCTCTCGCCAGCGACTGTTCTATGAAATGTTGTTTGCTTTTCTTTTTCATTTTACTTTTCTTCCCCACAATGCACTCCAATTTATTTCTGAAGAACTCCATCTGCAGGTGTTCTGCTCAGTTAGGAATATCTACCTTGATTATAGAAGAGTCTGGATATGATCATCTAATGTAGGGGTGTCGAACTCAATCAGAGAAGGGGCCAAAATCTAAAATCCAGCCTAAATCGCGGGCCGAATGGTTTACTGAACAGTCATAAACTGTCATTGTGATGGAAACGCAGCGGAGTGCAGTGATGACAGTGCGGTGCGGGCCACATTGCAAGGCCTGGCGGGACGGATTTGGCCCGCGGGCCTTGTGTTTGACACATGTGATCTAATGTATGGAAGGAGAAGGCTACAGCCATCCTTTAAAAAAAAAAAAAAGAATAGTTTATTGATTTTTAGAGATAGAGGAAGGGAGAGGGAGAGAGAAGCATCCATGAAAAAGCACACCGATAGGCTGCCTCCTGCACACCCCCATACCAAGGATCGGGCCTGCAACCCGGGCATATGCCCTTGACAGGAAATTGAACCGGCAACTTCCAGGTGCACAAAGGATGCCTAACCACTGGGACATACCGGCCAGGCTGCTGTCCTTTTGTTGCTGTTGTTGTTGTTGTTGAATTTATTGGAGTGACATTAGATAATAAAACTATACAGGTTTCAAGTATACAACTCCATAAAGCATCATCTACATACTGTATCGTGTGCTCAGCCATTCTCTTTTCATCATTTTATATCCTCCCTATCCTTCTAGTTTAATTGTAGGAAATAAACCTTTAAAGTGAAGCAATACAGATTCTATGTAGGTTGTTTGGTTTCACTGCTCCCTCGTTGAAACCCAGGGCCAAAACTCGACAGTGTTTACTGAGATTAGCATCGGTGATTTCCTTTGGAAATTAGTATTGGAAATAATATTAAATTCGGCTGAAAATCCCCTTTTCATGTTTGCGAAATGAACGCAGCAGCTGTTGGTGTCCTTTCATCAGCAGACTGTACCTCTGTTTAGGGGATTTTAAGGAAAGCCATTTGCAATGCAGAGCCTCTTCTTCCGGTTCCTGACTGAGCTAACATCTTCCGCCTGAACCTTTTAAAGTATCATAATAGCACAGGCCACTTCTACAAAATATAATCCAATGTATGTTGAAAACACCCAAAAGAGATTAGCATTGTTTTAATTGCATAATTCAGTATTGTATATACATTACCTTTCATCAAAGCCATTTTGCAGAACAAATATTACCTTCTCAGAGCTTTTAGAATTCCTAAGAGGTTGGGTTGCACAGGCTGTAAACTAGAATTATAAAGAGAGAACTTTCTTAAGATTGCAAAACAAGTAGTGATTGAAATTGGAATGGAATCCGGCAAAGGCCAGCCTCTCCATATTTTTACTTCTCTTCCTTTTCAGAACCAGAAAGCATATTGGCCTTGCTCCATTGCATTATGCATGGAAGGTTAACCCTTTGTGCAATTTAGTCTGCTTCATTTGGAAATATAAAGAGAAAGAGCTACTCATGAACAAGGCCATATAATGGAGATAGAGTATAGAGGGATACATATTTATATTGCTATATTTTAATTTGAAGTGTGGTGGAGAAGCTTTCCTCTGGTGACAGAGGTCTCCCCAGTCTAAGCTAATAGCTACTAAGCTCTAGTTAGAGAGTACTAGAATGGAAAACTTCCCAGCCAGGTAAGTTGGTTTTTGAGCTTATTATCTGTTTCTCCTATGTTAATGGTTAGCAGCCATGTCCATCGAGATATAGCTTTTGGCGTATCTTTTTATGTGAACACCAGAAGAAATAGACAAAGACCTTTATAAAGATGCCCAACGTATGACCTTACTTATTTTCTTTTCTGTCCCTCAGGGGGAGACCAAGCTGAAAATTTCCTTGGACAGGACAGCTCCGATGATAACCACAGTGGAATTCATGGCCCTTCCTTCATCTCAGATGCACCTTTTTTGCCAGATTATCAGGATGAGGGTGAGTGTCATTTTCCTGGATTTTGGCTCATCATACTTTGTTGCTTTTTATGTGTCTCTGCCCTTTGTCATTTGGCTCAAGCAGCTTCGGTGTGGGTCCTCTGAATGGGTAATCACTCGTTTGCAAAGAACAACTATTTGTTTCATTGTGGTGCTGGGCCTCCTGTAATTCAATACTTCTGAAGTTAATGTATTTAGGAAAACGCTAATTCCATATTGAAGCAGGAAGACATCATTATTGATCTTTTTATAAGGACTGTAGCTTCGAACGCTAAGAGGGCATTTTCAGGTGGCAGGGCCCAATTTGCCATTCTTTCAGATTTTTGAGCCTCATAGAGTTGCGTGAGAATTAGAGCTTTCATTTAGTGGTTATTGGATTATTGATTTGTTGTTGATTATTTGAAATTTTAAGATCATCGTATTATCATAAGACGTTGTTTTTACTTGTTCTTTTCACATGCCCAGCCATATTGGTGTTGTTCAAGGGGAAGCCACATGAAACATAATGCAAATCTTCCTGGAGCATTGATTTTACTTGGAGATTTAGGAATGGGAGGATTTAAATAATTCAACTGTTACGAATATTGTTTTTATATTAAAACACATTGCTGTGTAATAGAGTCGGATGCAAAATGCAGATGAATTTTTAAGATGCATGAAAATAAAAATGTTGGCTTGGTGGCTGCCAGTTTCTGGCTCAGACTCAGACATCCCAAGGGTAGGGTTCACTGTGCCTCGCTGGCATCTGGCCACTGGAACAGAAGGTTTGATCACCACTGATGCACACGGTTATCTTACCAACGTCTCTCTTGTGCCTTGCCAGTGGAGGGAAAAGGTAGAGATGCTGCTAAACTGAATATTAAATTGGAAGCTTACTACTCACTTAGGAGTTGGGAGTAAAGTTGGTAAATTATTTCTTATTTCTCTTTATTAGTCTGCAATCTTTCCAGTTATTTTTCTTCCAAATTTCCCTACGACTTTGGCATTTTCCAAGAGTTCTTAATCCCTATATTCCCTTCTATTCTCAATTTATCCATGAATTCTTACTTCATTTAGCTCGTTTGGTGATTCATATTTTCTCCTTTGCATTGACTTGATAACCTCCACTATGGATACAACCACACAGAAACATTTTATTTTGTTTGAGCTTGGTAAACCGGCACAATTAGTAATACCCACGTTTTAGAAATTGGGCCCTGTAAGGTGAGATCTGAATATTGGTTCAGGTATGATTTGGGAGCTTAATAATTACATTAGTAGCTGATTAATAATTGAAGAAAATTAACAGTGCAAAACATTAGGAAAAAAAAAAAAAAACAGACACCAAAAACCTGTCATTTGTTTCGGATCAATCTGATGCTTGACAGAATTAGAACAATAGGCCCTCCTTCATCCATAAGTCACTTATTTGGTATTCCCAATTTTCCCAGACACCGCTGAAAACATGGTAAGTAAGCCTCTGAGTAGAAATAGATGTTCCTGAGTCTGTGTTAACACTGACGTGCCTTCTCTGTGAGAGAGCCCTGAGGCCTCACTGCGCTCTCAGCCCACAGGGAGTGAAGCATCAGATTAGAAGAAGGAGGTCCTGTCAAGGCATCCACCGAGGTATAGTCACATAACACCGAGGTAAGGAACAGAAAAACAATTGAACATTTATATAGAAAACGAAGTTTATCATTAAAACAAAATTTATGTGGAAACTTTAAAAAAGCTGTTTGGGGACATACTGTATGATAGAGGGAAACAGCTCAAACTCTCCAGTAGCTCAGTACTTTAACAAAGTGAAACTTTTTAGCTAGCATTTATTGAGTCTTGAATCTATGTTCTAAGCACTTTGAGCATACCGTTATTTAATCCCCCCGAGCAGCCCTAAGAGGTAGATATTAGGATTTATCTTTATTTTACAGATAAGGAAGTTGGTACCAAGGGAAGTTAACTTGTTTAAGGTCACACAGCTAGTACATAGTAGTGCCAGAATTTGTACTTACAAAGTCTGGTCCTAGGACCTCTGTTCTTAACCACTCTGTCATCCTTACTATTATCCTCATCGAACTTATCCAAAAAGATGGATTCATGTTCCAGACATTTTGGTTAAGACTATGCAGATACACATGGCATGTTTGGAAATAGTTTCATTAAAAATAGTTGAAATTTTTTTTTAAAAATTAGTGTTTCCAGACAACAGTGTGGTGGTTGCCAGAGGGAAGGGGGTGTTGGGGTGAGGAGGGGACCTCATATATGATGATGGAAGATGGTTTGATTTTGGGTGAGGGGCATACAGTACAATATACATATATGATTTCATAGACATGTACACTTGAGCCGAAACTGGTTTGGCTCAGTGGTAGAGCATCGGTCTGCGGACTGAAAGGTCCCAGGTTCGATTCTGGTCATGGGCATGTACGTTGGTTGCGGGCACATCCCCGGTAGGGGGTGTGCAAGAGGCAGCTGGTCGATGTTTCTAGCTCTCTGTCCTTCTCCCTTCCTCTCTGTAAAAAATCAATAAAATATATTTTTTAAAAAGAAAAAAAGAAATGTACACTTGAAACCTATATGATCCTATTAACCACTGTCACCCAAGTAAATTTAATAGAACTTTTAAAAAATCATGTTGACATTTTTCTAGTATCTGGAAAGTCCCAAAATGGGGAATTCTATTCTATAGTGGCTCCCCGTAACAGATGAGTTAGTAACTATGTTAGTAATATTAAATTCTCAATAGATTTTTATTTTTCATTCTGTGTATAAAAGTTAAAAGAATTCCCAAAGAGCCAGAGTCAATGGTAGAGGTAAGAATAGATTTGTTTATATGTGTTAAAAGTTTACTTGTGGGATGGTGAGATAATGTTTAAATATGAGTTTCTGTAAGGCATTGATTCTAGCACATGCCTGAATACTTGATAAGTAATGAACACAATACATGTTTGCTTCCTTCCCCTGGGAAAATAAAAATGTTTACATTTCCTGTGAAATTTAAGAGAAGGTTAGAAAGATGTTAAAATTTTAAGTAAACGTATCCTGATTACCTAGATTTTACATTATAGAGAACAGTAACGCTTGACACACTACTTATTATTTTTACAAACACTTATTTAGAGATTATAAGGTAATACCAAGTCAATATGCTAGGTTGTAAGTGAAATATGCAGCTGAAAAATCAGACACAGTCCCTCTCCTCATGGCGCTTACCATCTCATTGGGAAAACACACTATTAATAAGTAGACCAGCTCTAGCCAGTTTGGCTCAGGGGATAGAGCGTCGGCCTGCAGACTGAAGGGTCCCAGGTTTGATTCCAATCAAAGGCATGTACCTTGGTTGTGGGCATATCCCCAGTAGGAGGCAGCTGATTGATGTTTCTCTCTCATCGATATTTCTAACTCTCTATCCCTCTCCCTTCCTCTCTGTAAAAAAAAAATCAATAAAAAATATTTTAAAAAATAAATAAGTAGACCAGCAAATATAAAGTCAGTGTCTTCAGTTGCCAGTGAGATAGGTAAGGGCATCCTTTTTTTTTAAAAAAAAGATACTTTACCTTTCTTTGTAGTGCCATTTTTTGGGCTTTTGGAATCTTATCTTTATTAGATAATGAAAGGTCACTGTTAAAATATTTCATTTTTGTTGCCTTCCACCCCCAACTAGTGTCCTAAAGGTACAATTATAAAAGGACGCATGGACTGACCCATCCACCCATAGCTTCAGTGATGAGAAGCAATAACCATGGTGCGTGTCATGTTTGGGACACGCTTTTGTGAGAACTACAAAGAGATCTGGAAGAATATAGAAACCTAGCCAGGTGCACAGCAAAAATGAAAACCAAGGTTACAGGCTAAACCATGCATAAAAATGAGAGCATGCTGCCACCGCCTCACAATTCCTTCTTCTTTTCCTTTCTAAATGCCCTCAAACAAGCACATAGCCCACCATTAGAAATGAAAACTTGCTAGCAAGTAATAACATTTAGATTTCTAAACCTAGGGAGGCACACTTTCTACCATATCGAAGGAAAAACATTTAGTATGAAATGCGGAATATAATAACTTTACAAGAGTCAGCCAACTATGAAGCCCATTGCTTTTATGGTCCAAAATATATAACGGATTTTAGTGTATCTGTAAACTTACTTTATTAGTATAATGAATAACCCCTATTCATTAAAAAAAAAAAAAAGATGGATTGGGGAAAGAAATTATTCTATAAATAGGGTATAGTGACTCCTTCTGGAAGAAAAAGAAAAACATTTTATAAGAGATGAAACTTAAAATCCTATATAATAAAAGCTTACTATGCTAAGTGTCCGACTGTTCATTGGACCATTTGACCAGTCGCTATGATGCGCACTGACCACCAGGGGATAGATGCTCTGACAGGTAGGTTAGCTTGCTGCTGGGGTCCAGCCGGTTGAGACTGGGCCACATGGACGGGCCAGATGCACCAACGGGGTCCCTCAGTCTGGCCTGTGGGGATGGGGCCAAAACTTCGACATCTTCCGAGGGGTCCCAGATTGTGAAAGGGTGCAGGCTAGGCCTAGGGACCCCACCAGAGAATGAACCGATGCACTGAGCCTCTATATATATAATAGTATATTATTTATTATGTACTATGTATTATTACATTCTAATTAAGGTAAAGGGAATGAATGGATATGGGACAGATATATCTGAAAACAAATGGGAAAAATGTTTTTAGAGTTTATTTTTACATCAGGAAGTTGAAGGTTTAGGGAAGGTTGTTATTCTCTAGCAAAATGAAACATATCGATAGATTTGGAAACGTGAAGACCTATAACCATCTTTGAAGAAGAGTAATAATGACTAAGTGAAGAGCCTGGTATTGGTCAATTTATAGTATGCTACTAGATTTGAAAGAAATTTCAGATCTGTTATTGCACCAATAGTGGCCATTTTCAACCCCATGCCTTTTCTGAAAGGTACATTAAAAAGCATATAGAATATTTGAAAATATAGAGAATAGGTTTTTGTGTTTTTGTTTTTGTTTTTTAC